TTTCCGGGCATGGCTTGTTCAGCGTACCTATTGATTAGTGCTAGTACCTAATGCACAGGAGTAAATGCCGCTTGTGTCGGAGATACTGGTGTGCCAATCATGTTTTCATCGCTTGCCACGGCCGTCTCGTCACTTAACGCCCGGCGGGGTTGTCTTCGGGCTGCTGCCTCCGGAAGTGCTGGGCTCGGTTCTGCCGGCGCACTAGATGATGGCTTCTCGGCAGCTGTGGGTTCTACAACCACCTGCTCTAGAGGGACAACCGCCGGTTCAGGAGAAGGTCGTAGCCGCTGATCCGTTCTCAGGACTGACGCGGCAAGCTTCCTTACCCCCGTTGCGATGATCTCGGGACGATCCCAAGGGATGAACCCCGGGTTTCCAGAGACCCGCTGAGTATGAACCACATTATACCTCGTGTTGGCCCAGCTAGGGCAGGAATAGGAATTACTGCCCTCGTCCACCTTCGGGGCCCCCTTTTCAACGTCATGGGATGTATCCGGTTCTTCGCCAAGGAATACTGTGAGCGCAACCTTTGGCTTTGGAGAGGTGGCTTTCTTCGGGACTTTTTCCGGATGGCACACACAATACGCCCAGAACCTCATGGCTGCTTCGAGACCAGGTAACCAGGCGAGTTGGGTGAAATCGATCATCTCCGTCGGCGTGAAGTCCCGTTGAGCTCCAAGTAGCCGTAGACTCTTCAGCACGAAGACCAACAGCCCCGTTGGGGAGTCACACAAGGCATACGCCAGTGTATTCGGTTCGCGCAGTTCATATTGGTTCAAGCCAACCCGAGCGGGTGTTTTAGTTTTCCTTGAGTCCCCAACATAGCCACTTCGTTTAAGCGCGGATAAGTCTTCGCGGCTGTATCCCAGGACCGGGGCCTTTAGGAATTTAGCAATCGACCACTTTGCCCATTCAACGGGGGCGTCCTTAAGTTTCGGCTGCGCCAGCGGCGGCGATATAAAATGCGTTCCTAGGCAAGAGTCCGGATATTGAGTTGATAAGTAATTGGCGAGCTTGTAGTCGATCTCGGCTGGCGAAGCAGCCCCTGAACTAGCATTGGTCACCAAGTAATAGGGATAAGACAGTCGCTTCATTAACGAGTCAAGGATCTCTGCGCTAGAGGAGATTACGGGGGTGTTGTTTGGAAGCGCATCGCTAAATCCCACACCTGGCAAGGAAGGGATGACTAAGTGGAAAGGCTGGTTATTTGTGACATCCTCTGGGTCTGTAAACGGCTTGACTAGATGGCCAAACGCGAGGTTCGAGAAAGGAAATGGGGGTATCAAAAGAAGAGGTATGGCGCTTGAGTGAGGCGACCGAATGTGAATGAAGTGAATCCTAACGGGAGCCTTTAAAGAAGCGATTGTAAATGAAGTACGGAACTGAGGCAGTTCAGCATTTAGCAAATCTTCCTGTGCTCGCCATGAATATTGTTCAAGCCTGACCAGATGTTAGCGCTTTACTTTCTCATAAATTATATATAAAATTTGAAATCAAGTAAAGCTTACCAAAAATCGATGAGTGGTTCTATTTGAGACTTTGGCTCCCACCAGTCTTCAGATTTAGGCTCAGAGCCTTCGTGTGGTAATCTAGTAATCTCAAGTTTCTGTTTGGTAAGATCCAGATACTTCGAAGAGACCTATTAAAATGCGTCAGCCACATGAGAATAGTGAACCCGACAGCATAACTTAGAGTTATGGCTTGACTGAGAGATCAGCGCTTGGTAGGTGAGAATTGGGAAAAGCTCACATGTAGTTTGTATGGCTTGATCTCTTCTGTGGCGGAATTGCGAGTAGCAGCGGCCTCTCCAACTTCGGTAGCCATTTCAGCTGTTACATACAGCGCTGGGGGGAACTTTTATTCAACGAGAAACAGTCCATACAATAAAAGCGCAAGGTGTTGAACAGCCAGATGACGGAGAAAATATTTCTCACGACAGATATGAGAAACAGAAAAAAAGAAAACCAAAAAGATGGAATCTTCCTAACCTGCCTTACCTGCCGGTATTATTATGTATTACTGACTTGACTGTTAATAGGTAATTAAGGCATGTTTTAAGGGACTTGGGTGGCTTGACTCATGTGGCTAAACTGTCGGTTTGTCCTACTCCAGACGAGTCTAGCACGCGTAAAAAACAGGGTCTGACAGGGCAGAATCAAGGTTTAAGCCGGCCACGATGCTGGTAAGGACCCTGGATTGGGCCAGAACTTGGGTTTAAAAAAAAGTAAGGGTCCTGCCTAAGCTACCTAAGGGAGGAGATCTTGGAGGACAAGTGGCGGTGCATATACGTACAAGTTCGTGGCCCACGGAAATGATCGCTGAGAGTGGCTAGGAGTCTTTTTACCCGAACTATATCATCCCATGCTGATATCAAGATGCGACGGCGCTTCCTGTGGCCCCATCCCGTCCTGCGCTTCGAAGAGGACATAATCTAGGCACTGGGCGCGCAATGCAATATCTCACCTCGCGACCATTCCTACATTCCGTTCAGAAAGCGAACGGTTCAAGCAACCCCCTTGTTAGCCATGAACGCCTTATGCGACCTATAAAAAGGCCGGTATGATTACATGTTACAGGATGCAAATGCTGTCACAGCCAACCGGGCCTTAAACCAAGCTTTCTAGAATCCAACAAACATGGCATTGGACTTTCGCACGGCTCATGGCGGGCTTATACATGTTGAAGAAGCAGGTCATACGCGATCGCCAAGTTGGTCAACCAGCCGTCTTTAGAGAAAAGCCACAAACCACCAAGAGACGGGCAGGATGGACCAGCTAAGCAAGAGGGGCCGCGAACCGCGAGCCTTGGAACTGTAGTGATAATACTTGACTTTGTGACTACCTGACTGCCTTGGAAGTTGCGCGGTTTAAATCAGCCAACGATGGACGTGGGAATTAGTTGTGAGGATGGCGAAGACTCTCTCACTTCACACACGCTTCCTCATGGTTGATAATCAACAACAAAAAATCAATTTTTATTTTCAAACCCGGCGGGATATCACCAGCTAACACTCAAAAAATAACTATCGTACCTAGCTACCAACAAGACCCACGAAGACTAGGGTTGTGGTTTCGAGACTCATTATCACGAAATAATACCTGCTTTCACCCCGAACAACTCCTGGGGGAACCTGCGAACCTGCGGCTAGGGAAGCGTCTGAATATCCTCACAGGCAAATGCGGGCATGACTGCCACATACGCCCTCTTTGGCTAGACCTGGACCTAGAAAAATGCAAGCAGGGTCTTTTTGGGTTCGCCGGCCAGGATAATACTGAGTACAAACCGGTTCTCTCCGCCCCGCTATTTGCGGCTGCAGCTACAGTACCAACGGAGGTCCGGCGCATATACTCTCAATACGACGCTATAGGATCTTTCGCCTTCCACGCCTACAAGTTTCATGGCTAGTGAATCAAGTACGCAAGCAAGACAACTTGGGAGGAGGTTGGGAAACACTTGAATCATCCAGCTAAAATCCAGTTTACCAACGACTAATTCTGGCTAATGGCCCTCTAGCCTACCGATACGCTTCCCCCCCCCCCTCCCCTCACTTGTCTTCGTTCGTCTCGTATGCATGCCATTCAAGGAGATATGTGAACCTCGGTATCTTACGAGAAGGGAACATCTCTCGGCCTATGTTATACGGTATCAGTGTGAGCCTGCTAAGGCTAGGAGAGGTACCTTCCTATCTAAGCCCACAATGAATTAATATATAACCCGAATGTACGGTATCTTCTATCGATATCCAAAAAAAGATTTTTGGACAAGGTCTATAGTACACAATATAGTCTAGAGCTGCGATGTCTCAGCCGCTCTTTCTAAACCATGCTAAGGCTGGCTGGCCCAGAACTCCTGAACCCCCGAATATAACGCCCTACAAGTACACAAACAGGTATTTTTGACACAGGAGCAGACTCGATGCACTTAATTCTCAGCCTCGAGACTCGTCCTCTTCCCCTTTATTCGTCCACCACCTCCATAGGACCTTCGTCCAGAAGACCGTCTCCATGGTGCCGAGGACGCCCACAACGGTGTAGACAACAATCTTGACCCCCCGAGTCATTCCTAGTCCCTTGAGACTGAACTCGTCCGACCCAGGGGCGCCTCCGGCAGGCTGACCAGAAGAACTGATGTTGTTGCTATTGCTGTTGCTACTGCTGGTGTTGCCGTTGAGCTGCCGTTTCGTGGAGAGGTGACTAGCTGGTGTTGTTGTGAGACACCTCCTTGCCCCTGGGGCGGTGGTGCCACCTGTTGTGTATACATGGGGATTGGCAAGGGAGACACGGGACTCGTGCGATATCGAGGAGAAGAATGTATTTGCTCGGGTCAGTGTCTGTGGCTTGCCGGAAGGCCCAGCTGCAGCTAGCCTCGCAGCAAGAGCGGGTGTTATGAGACGTGTGGATGACATTTTGAAGTGACGAAACGCTTCGTTCGGGGGGGCAACGGTGAGATTGAAAGAGGATTGGAAGAATGAGTTTTTCATTTGCTAATGTTAACTACAACAACGAAATTACATACTTATGACAGGTAGGTAGATAGTCTTATATACTGATGAAAGCGCGCAAGGGAATTCTGAGTCACGTTTATGTGCACTCACTCACTACTTTCCAATTAGCGATACGATGCTATTGCCGCCTGACTGTGATTCCTTGAATATAGGTGATCCAATGAAAACCACTACAATACGCCGTATTTAGATAGCATGGGCTGAGCTGAGTGGTAATAAAGGAGCCCATGGTTACTAATCTATGTCGTGCTCGGCACGGGCTGGCAAAGATACCCAGTCCAGGAAAACTACGAAGTAGTAATATTGACGTACACTGTGCTAGCTGTAGCAAGCACACCTCCGAATTGTGATGTACGTACCATATATATTACATGAGGGATGGATACATAGTTCTTTCTTTATGTCCAACAAACGAAAAAAAAAATTCATGTATTTTCAAAGGTGTTGCAAGTAATAAGTGGGATAATCCAAACAAAATGGGAAAAAAGACACGATGTGCACTGCCCGCGAATCGAACGCGGCGCCTAAGCAAGTTCCTCATGGGAAGCTTAGATGTTACCACTACACCAACAGTGCGGGGTTAAAGGATGGCGTCGTAAGTGATACTATATCGCTGCGGCGACGGAGGAATTACCCAAGATTATTTCTTGAAGAATCGCAGATAATATCTACATAGCGGGGGGCCAACGAAGCCTTACAATTACTAATAGGAAGGGAGACCTACAGAGAGGGGAGGGGCAGTTTCCTCGCGGAATTTACATACAGTCACCACAGACCCGATACATGTTTCCTTGGCCTTGGCAGATGAAAAGGCAATAAACGGGACTGTGACTTGTAACGGCTGGCCTAAACCTAACCTGTCTTAAGTAAAACTACCTCCCTGTAGCTCATGTGCCTAAGTTACGTAGGTACCTTACCTATCGATGTATTAGACACCAAACTCGACAAAGACAAATTACCCCACCACCACCACCAACCAACCTCACTCGCAACTTTCCATTGCCAATCACCAACGGTCAAGCTTTCCCCAGCCCACCCGACAAACCACCAATCCTACCTAACGTACATTCGATACCCCAGCCAGAAAGAGAGATAGAGAGGGAATAGAGAGCGAGAAACATTCGAATTAATAATATAATAACAACAAATACGATCTTGCTTCCGAATTACCAGGATTACAGTAGGCTTGCTCGCTTGCAAACAATCATGAGTGCCAAAGGCGACAAGATCGAGAAGATCATCGCCCGGCTGCAGGAGCGCATCAACGAGGGCCAGTTCTACGAGGCGCAGCAGCAGACCCGCGTCGTCGCCGCCCGGTACACCAAGGCCGCCAACTGGGCCGCCGCCGTCGACATCCTCTACAACGTCGCCCAGTCGCTCCTGAGGGCCGGCCAGGGCGGCAGCGGCGGCGACCTCTGCGTCCTGCTCGTCGACACATACAAGCAGGCCGAGCTGAAGCCCGACTCGGTCACCAAGGGCCGGCTGCTGACATGTCTACGGCTGTTCGATAGCGAGGAGCCCACGCGCAAGAAGTACATCGGGGAGATGATAGCGTACGTTTCCGTCCTCGTGGATACATGTGTCCCTAATTCCCATTCTTCCCCCGTAAGGGAACTACTATCTTGCTATACTGCGTGTACTAATGATGCATTGCCCGCTCTCTCCAGGTGGTCCTCCAAGTACGGCGAATACCCCGCGGGCGATCCCGAGCTCCATCACGTCGCAGGTTCCCTATACGCAGAAGAGCATGAAGCATACGACGCCGAGAAACATCTGGTCTTGGGCACCAAGGACTCCGCCGAGGTCTTGGCCCGCATGGAATACGAGTGGTTCAAGGAGGACGATGCCCACACGGCGGCGTTATATGCCAGCAGAGCTGTGCTACCCTACCTCCTCGCCGCCAACGTCCGCGCCGCCAACACGTCCTACCGACTGTTCACCAGCGCCCTGAATGAAGACAAGCAAGGCCAACTCGGAGTTCAAGACGTGAGCAGCAACAGCGCCGACATACGGATCTACCCAAGCCTACCGCTGCTCAACTTCCTAGGCCTCCTCCTGCTGGCGGTCCAGAGAAATAGTGCAGATCTTTACAGACAGTTGACGGCCAAGTACGCCAGCCATCTGAAGGAGCTAGACATATGGACCGAGGCCCTGGATATGATTGCCGAGATGTACTTCGGAATCTCGAAACCGCGGCAGAGCAATCCCCTCATGGACATGATGAGCGGCATCTTCGGCGGTAGCGGTGGCGCCCCTCCTGCAAGCGGAGGCGCGAGAAAGCCGGCCATCAATGCCCCAACGACGATGCCGGCGGCGGAGGGCCTGGACTAGTGAGGAATACAAAATGCGGATAGTTTTTAGAGAGGGATAGAGCCAGCTTCTTTAGGAAGTCCTTTAGGAAGTCCTTTAAGATAACCACCACTTTGCATTGCATGGCGCTTCCTCATTGTCCGCGTGGTTGTTCTTCCGGCTCATACATCCAATTGTCTTCTGCCAGTGCAATTACTTGTGCCCGCATGCTTGCCTTGAGCGCCTCCAGCACCTCTACCTTTCACGTTAGCGCTAGCTCCCCTATAACCCCTGTTGCGGTTGTTGTTTTTCTGTTTCGCCTACCTTCTGGTTGCGCCGGGCTTCGGTTTATCTGGTGGTGCCTGACCGTCTCGGCTAGCTTTTGCCTCTCTCCTGTGAATGAACAACAAGATCAGCACTTCTTCGGACTAATACTACTTAGGGACTTCTCCCTTCCCCCCTCATAGCATGCCCCCTTCCCTAACCCTGATATTTGGAGCGGACAATATAAAAAAAGGGGGCAGAGCACGAGAGTGTGCGCAAGAGCTCGTGTATACGTGTATCAGGTGTGTGAATGTGTGTGCGTGCGTACGTTCGTTCTCCTGGGCGTCGTCCAGCACGACCTCGTCCATGTCCTCGAGCGTCGGCGTCGGCGGGTCGCCGACCTCGAACTCGCCGTTCTTATCGCGAATAACGATCTCGGAGGTATCAGAGAGCACCTCGACGTCGAGCCGCATCGCCTTCTCGGCAGCGGTGGTGGCGGAGGAGGACGACGACGAGTTAGCAACGGCAGCGGCAGCAGCAGCGGCAGAGGAAGTCGTCGGGGTCGGGCGCCGTGTTAGTTGTCCCTGGAATAGGTTCCGCCTCACGCCACCGCCCGCCAGGTTCGCGCGCCCCGTTCTACTATGGCCCGGGCCTGGTCGGAGGTGGTGGTGCGGCGGCGGTGCGCGGTCGGTCATCGTGGGGCGTTAGCGTGGCGTCGCTGCTGGTGAGATGCAAAGATCGGACCTAGGTTAGGTGACCAGACGGGAGAGATTATACGTCTGTATGTAATGAGTGTATGTATGTATGTATGTACTAGGTATATGGATGTAGCTGGTTTTTAGCAAAGAACAGGGAGTGCTTTCTCTCTCTATCTCTGTCTCTTTATAAGCCTATCTCGAAGAAGAAGGGAGGGCAAAGGGCCGGGATAATAATATTGAGCACGAGCAAGTTGTAAGGAAGAATGGATATGTAGAAAAGATGGAGTGAGCAATTGGTGTTGTTTATTGGATGCAACCCAAATAAGGATAGAAGAGGGGCGGGGCGGGCAGACGGGCCCTGTAGCTGTGGGGTATCCCTGCTCTAAGAGCCTTCTGTACTACTGCAGTACGGACTACAGAACTTAAGTAAAGACGTGGGGCAATTTGGAACAACTTAGAAGGCTCCTACTCTCTACCTTACTTACACAGCCTTGTTCACCGTTGATGTCTAGTAGAATCGCCTCCATCGTGAAGCGTTACCTACGTCCAAATTTAAGGCTACTACTTGGACACAGGAATGAAGCATTTTGGAATATGGCAGAGACTTTCCAGATTCAACCCCTTGGCCGTTTCTCAGGCGAAAGCGAGCCTGTCAAACGACCTAAGGTATTCCAGATCTGATATCGAAATACGATATTACCCCTATACCACACGCTTATTCTAATCAAATCACAGGAGATAGCGTGCTTCTCATACGACGCCAAGCACGAGTTTCATCTGGGCGACTCGTCACTGCAGTGGTACTATCCTCCTGAGATAGGGGCAGATCTCTCTAAGGGTTTCGACAAGTTTGAAAAGCATGATGGCTCGAAAGATGAGCATCTCGAAAGCCTCCTCAAGACCGTAATGGCTCACGAAGAAGAGGAAGGCAAGAAGATCGATGCAGAGGTAATCACCTGGAGAGGCATGATGACTAAGGTATATTTTGCTCAACCCGTTATTTTTACCGCGCGAAATAGAGCTGACCAGCTTAGATAATGTCTACGCCGTTCGATGACCGAGACGGGTATGTGTTGACAGTGACTAAAATTTTGTCTACGGCATTCTAACAATGCTTACGCCTTCTCAGCTTTGAGATGAATGCTACCCTATACCAAGTGCGCGACTCAGCTACCACCCTGTCGAAGAGACTACTGATCACTCGGTGAAGGACTGCATGTATGCATAGAGACTCTTTCGACATTTTTCTCGTCTAGTCTAATGCCAGGCGTAGATTTATCGAAGAAAACCATGCGTACAAACAAGCCTCGCAACAAGAGCAGAAACAACAGCAGCAAGGACGACGAGGCCAATTCTCACCCGAAATGATGACATATTGGGGTGAGTTTTGCGGATATCAATGAATCAGCCCCAGACACCTTTACAACAAAGCTTACTTTGACCCCAGGTTACAAGTTTGAGACACTCTCTTGCTTGCCGCGCCCCTGGGGAGAGGTCACAAGAGAGTTCATCGAGGGCCGTGACAACGCAATCGTCAGCAACAAGGCTCAGTATTGTTCTGTAGTACGCACGGGAATTGGCAAGACGGTGTTGTGTCTTGGGGGTGAGGTCGACGCTAGTAAGTCCCTCCGAAGACTGGACCAATCTGTCTATAACGACACAAGTAAAAAAGAAATATGGCTCACACTAATCTGTTTTTTCCCTCCTCAAGTCTGGGACTCAAAGCCGATGCAAAAGGGGGCACCAATCAACTGGATTGAGCTTAAGACTAGTGTTGAGATTCGCGACGACCGCGGCATGAACAACTTTGAGCGCAAGCTCATGAAGTTCTGGATCCAGTCCTTCCTGCTCGGCGGTGAGTGAACTCTGGAGTTATTGGTTCATAAGAAGGACACTTGCTCTCGCTACATACCCCATTATTCTTGCTGAAAGGGATAATAATTACTGACTCTCATGCCACAGTCCCCAAGATCATCGTCGGTTTCCGCTCCCAGCAGGGAATCCTCACCAAGATCGAGGAGATCGAGACGGCCAAGATCCCCGAGACAGCAGCCAAACGCGGCGTCCGGAGCTGGAACGCCAACATGTGCATCAACTTTGCCAGCGCATTTCTGGAATGTACGTACATACTTACACACACGGAGCAATCCAGGAGAAGGGGTTTAAGAATTGTTATTCGATTCGTAGCTTTTACTGACGATATACAGGGCTGAAAAAGACGATCAATGACGAAGGGGTCTGGCGTATAAGGAGGCGGCCGCGCTCGCAGGTGATCGAGGTCTTCAAGGTCGAGGAGGTGGGCCATGGGAGCATCCTCACGGACGA